GGACTGATGGGGGAGGGGGACGGGAGTGGGGGGGCCTGAGGAAAAAGGGGAGACCCGGCCAGTAATGGAGGGCCCTTAGGGAGCTGGAAGAACCAGAGTGTGGGCCCTGAGGGGTCTGGGGGACCAGAGCAGGGTCCCTGAGGAAGGGGGACTGGGCTGAGCATGGGGGGCCCTATGGGGTGAGGGAGGACCAGAGTGGGGACCCTGAGGAAGGGGGACTGGGCAGAAGTGGGGGGTCCTGAGTGGCCAGCCCGAGAACCCTGAGGGGGCCAGGGCGCCTGAGGGGCATGGGTTCAGTGTGGGACTGGGGGACCATGAGGGAGGGTGACAGGACTGAGAGTGGGGGACCCAAGAGGGCAGAGGGACCTGGGGTAGGGGGCCCTGAGGGGACACTGGAAAGCCTGGGGGTACAGGGCAGGAGTGGAGGGTGCCCTGGATGGGGACAGGCGGGCGTCAGGAGGCAAGGGGGCACCTGACCAGCGTGGGGGCCCTGCGGAGGCATGGGGGCGGCCCAGTCCCGGGCATGCCCCCAGCTCAGAACCTCCTCTTCTAAGCGTTGCACACCTAGGACGGGGGTGATTAGGTCCTGAGCACCCTACCTGCGCTCAGGGTAAAACAGATACCATTTAAGGTTCTAGAAAAGGCCGCTATGGGCAGGAGTTCAGAGACCTGAGTCTTACTCTCAGGGGACTGATTCCACTTTGGCCTTTTGTTTAAACTCAAAAATCCAGTAGTGTCATGACAATTTTCACTCCAAGTCCCAAAATGTTTTAAGATGAGGACGAGCCTAGATATTTCCTTGGTTTCCTTCGAGGACTTCTGGTTAGTACAGTGGCGATGCAGGGGCCCCTCAGAAAGAGACGCTGTCCACCCAGGACAGAGCTGGTCCTTCTGAGCTGGTGAGACTTTCCTCCCCGTGGGCGGGCAGGGCAGGCCCACTGCTCAAGATGCTCCTCCAGACGCCTTACTGGGAGTGGGGCAGCCTTGTTCACGCATGTCCCAGATGGGGGCCAGAGCCCCACAGGCCTCTTTCCTGGCCAGTGCTCACGCCCCACTGCACCCAGCGTATGTGCTGTGATGGATGGCGGGTTAGGTCCCACCTTGGAGCTGGTATTCCCTCCAGACGTACCCTTCAGCTGTGGTGGGGCAGGCCCAGCCCCAGCACTGCAGCCCTGACCACACCTGCACCAGGCCCAGGCCCAATGTCACCTCCACTCTACAAATGTCTGTTTCTCCAAGTCCAAGTGTGCCAGGGCAGCCGGCAGAGGGAGGCAAGCAAGCTGAATGGCACCCTTCTCTCCTCCACCGTGGGGAAACCGGACGCAAGCCCACAAGCTCGAGGATCTCCCACCGCCCAGCAGAAGTTAGACAGTCTCACGAAAGACGACGAAAAGACGCGAAACTCTTCCCCACACAGCAGGAGAAGACGAGACGATGCCCTCTCAAACGGTGGACGTGACGCTCGGGAATGAAGAAAGTCCACATCCAGGCATGTCAGAGTGACATCCGGAAATCCAAGGGTGCAGGGACTAGTTCACAAGCCTTCAGACAGGAAGGGTCTTCATTAGAGTTACTCAGACTGCACGTGCACAGGCAACACTGCCAGAACTCTGAGAGAACTGACCCAGAACTGACACACAGTGAGACTAGCATTCAAGTGAGAGAGCAAAATAAAGGTGTCTTTATGGCCCATCAACGTCCAAGTTTACCACACACAAAGTCTCTAAAACATTACTAAAACATACACTTTAACGAAATGAATCAAAGAGTAAGAGGTGGATGCCAGCAAAGAACCCAGTTTGGACTGTTAAAAGGACATCAGGGCCGGGCGCGGTGGCTCACGCCTGTAATCCCAGCACTCTGGGAGGCCGAGGCGGGCGGATTGTTGGAGCTCAGGAGTTCGAGACCAGCCTGAGCAAGAGCGAGACCCCGTCTCTACTAAAAATAGAAAGAAATTAATCAGACAACTAAAAATATATAGAAAAAATTAGCTGGGCATGGTGGCGCATGCCTGTAGTTCCAGCTACTCGGGAGGCTGAGGCAGGAGGATCGCTTGAGCCCAGGAGTTTGAGGTTGCCGTGAGCTAAGCTGACGCCACGGCACTCTCTCTAGCCCGGGCAACAGAGTGAGACTCTGTCTCAAAAAAAAAAAAAAAGGACATCAGACAACCTGAGAGAAACTCCGGGCGAACATGACCTGTGGCAAGGCGAGGGGCAGGAAGGGAAGGGGCACTGAAGTTCTTGTATTGTTTGGTGAGAGGATTTTAGAACCAGTAGAAAAAAAGGTTTAAAGTGTTAAAATATCCGAAAGTTTCCACTAGAAAAATGGAAGTAGGACTTACAACCTTCAAAACAGCTGAGGAAAAGGTGAAATGAAGAAAAAATTCACAGCACCCACTAAAAACAGGAACGAGGAAAAGATAAAAGCGTGATAAATGAGGAACGTGCGATGAGTTGGCAGGACTAAGTTCAAACATTTGTGTAATCAGAGAAATGTAGCTGCATTAAGTTCATCTATTAAAAGGGCCTCTGGTTGGAATATAAATGTTGTTAAATACTGTTAAAAGAAATACACCTGAAAAGAAACACGGAGACGAAAAATAAAAGGATGGAAAGTATCATATTTTTGTTCCTCACAAGACACCATAAACAGAATGAAGAACGGAAACCAGAAGATATTTGCAATGCATACACCTTGCAAATGATTAATATTCAGAATTTACAAAGAATCCTTTCGACGCATTAGAAAGAGGCAAACACGCCGATAGAATTATGGGCAAAACCCACATTCAGCAAAGAAGCCAGTTTTGTGACAGGCTCCTTGCAAGAAGAACATGGAAGGGACCCACTACCTTACCAGTAATCCTGGAAATGCAAACTAAAGCCATACCAGATAGGCACAAATGTTCAAGAGTGACAATACTCAGTGACGGCAAGATGACAGAGCAACTGAAATACGCATTCCCTGCTGGCCAGAATGTCGAGTAGTACATTCATCTTGGAAAATAATATGGCCCTGTGGCCCCACCCAGTGAAGTTGAACACACGCATAATAAGCCACTCCCAAAACTTTGTAGCTCGAAACAACCACCGTCTCTCCCTCTGCTCATGCATCTGCTATCGGGGCAGGACTCAGCACACACAGCGGGACTGGTCCATGGAGCAGCAGCCAGAGCACCTCCACCGGGGCTGGAGGATCCATTCCCAAGATAGTGCACTCACGTGGCTGCTAGCTTGGCTCAGGCTGTGGGCTGAGGGCCTTGGGGGCTTCCTTGAGGGATGGTGGCCATGTTCCAGGAGCAAGAGTCCCAAGAGAACCAGGTGGGACCTGTATCACTTTTCATGTCCTAGCCTCAGAAGTCATATAGCGTCACTTCTGCCATAGTGACAGCCTCTCCAGATTCTAGGGAAGGGGGAACACAAACCCCACCTCCTGTTGGGAGAAGTGTCAGAATCACGTCTTAAGAGAAGCATGTGTACGAGAGAGTTTGCTGTGGCCACTTTGGGAAAATGCAAGCTGCCATACCCATTCCTAGCCTCAGCGTTAAGTCAATAGACGTTCCTAGACACATTTCACGCCCAGGTGTGTTCCTGAGAAACTTGTGCTTGTCCCTCAGGAGACATATGCATGAATGTTCAAAGCAATAATACTGGGGAAAAACCTCAAATGTCCAAGGACAGTAAAATGGATAAATAAAGTGAGGTACCTCCATACAATGGGATAGCACACAGCACGAAAATGAATGAATCACACACCCCGTTTTTTTATTTGAGACAGTGTCTCGCTCTGTTGCCCAGGCTAGAGTGCCGTGACATCATCGTAGCTCACAGCAACCTCAAACTCCTGGGCTCAAGCAATCCTCCTGTCTCAGCCTCCCAAACAGCAGCTGGGACTACAGGCTTAACACCCAGGCTTAACACCCTACACAACACCCAGCTGTTTTATTTTTTGGTAGACACGGGGTCTCACTATTGCCCAGGCTGGTCTCAAACTCCTGGGCTCAAGCCATTTTCCCGTCTCGACCTCCCAGAGTGCTGGGGTACAGGTGTGTGTGAGACACGGCACCCACCCTCGATATCTTTTTTGGTATCTTTTAACAAACCTTGAGTTCCTACTGGTACCTGTAACCTCCAATTCAAACCTAACATGGAGTTCGTTCCACCCTCCACTCTTTGTAACTCTCTTTCAATAGTGAGAAACTTCTGGGCATTCGCTTGGTAACTCAGTCCCCCGTACGCAACCATCCCTGGGCCATACCAGACAGAAACCTGGCCCCAGACACAGCCATTGTCCCCCGTTTATGCACCAGCCAAGAGCTCAGCTCCAGGGACAGCGCTGCCCCCAGGACTCTCATATCTACTGGCTGGAAGCACAGCCCAACAAAGGGCAAGGGGGAGGGTGCTAGTGGTTTCTTAATGTTCTTTTTTCTGGCAGGAATAAAATAAAGCCCTTTTTCTTCTTAATCTGTCCCTCACCTTTAATTTAGCAGACTATCCTTTCGCAAACAAACAAAACATTCTTTAAATGGTATTTTTCTCGCTTCAGAATTCAGGAAAAATAGTTTTTACTGAACTTTACTTTTAATGGAAATCTAATAATTTCCGTAGTTTTAATAAAAATCAGTTCTCTTTTCCCCCAGGATATAATTACACAAATTGATCATGTAACCAAGGTCTTATTTGGGTGTCACAGCTGAGGATAAATTCCGTGTGAGGGGGCATGACACACCCACCATTAAGGAACAAGGCTGTAGAACATGTGTTGAACCGACGTCCACACAGCCCTCAGACCCGCACTGGTTGGCACCTGTACCCTGGCACACAAGGTCTCAGCCTCACAGGTAGTGGGAAGAGACCTCCCGGCGAGCCAAGGACCGTGGCAGACACGGGGGTCCCCTAGAAGTTGGAGACTCGCACGTGCCCAGGTTCTTGCTGCAGGTACGTTCCCAGGTCTTTGCTACGGGTACGCGAGCCTGGGGAAGGCAGGCTGGGTTCACCGACTTGGCCTAGGAGTGAAAGAGCAAATAAGAAAAATAAAAAAAACCCTCAGGTGTAACGTAGGCTCAACCCTACATTCCTTACGATGACATCTCCGGACAGAAGTGGATTTTCCGGCCTTGCTCGTTGCGTCACACTAACAAGGAGGCCGTGCGTGTTAATCACCACTTCGCACAGTGCCTGTGTAGGTGAGTCGCGTCAGAGCACAACGAGACTAGCTTTCAGTGGTCAAGAATACCTGTAAGGATTATTCATCGCCACAGAGGGAACAAGTAAGAAAAGTTTCCCAAAATTTAGGAATAGACAGAAGGACGGTGGGCCATCCTTTCCATGTCAGGCCGAGTGTCCTCCTGGGGGACTTTCTGATTCTCTGGGGTGTGCACCTGTTCAACTTGCCATTTACTGCTGACTATGGTATTTTACAACTCAGCAAGGGTAGATTTTAACTGATGGAAAGCAGATGGCTAAGTAAAATGATTCTTGCTGACAGCAATGCCAGTGAATTTTTCCCAGTAGCAAGTGACAGAAATTATTTCTGTCTGGTAGAAAATATTACAGATAGAAAAGGTTGCGGTTTTATGGCCCTATAGAACATTAGCCAATTTTTTTAATACAAAACTCTTACTCAAGCAAGCTTTTTTTCAGTGACTACAAATGTTATACTTCCCTCTTTCCAATTTTTTGCATTTAGATCTATGCTATGTTGCCCAGGGTCGCTTTGAACTCCTGGGCTCAAGCGATCCTCCTGCCTCAGCCTCCTGAGTAGCTGGGACTATGGGCACCACCACCACGCCTGGCTAATTTTTCTATTTTTGTTGGTATCCAAGAAGGAAAGGAGAAAGAGTGTGGGGCTGAGAAAATATCTGAAGGATGAACTGCAGAATCTTCCCAAATTTGGCAAAAGACATAAACCTATGCATTCAAGAAGCTCAGAGAACCCCAAATAAGATAAACCTAAATAAATCTATGCCACACACATCACAACTAAACTTCTGAAAACCAATGACAAAGAAAAAGTCTCGATAAGCAGACGTAGAGAGATGACACACTGCCTGTGGGGAAGAACCTCGGATTTCTTATCTGAAACCACAGAGGCCAGAAAGAAGGGGCACATTTCTCAGGTAATGAAAGAACTGTCAACCACGCATTCTATATCTAGTGAAAATGTTCTTCAGGAATGAAGGAGAAATAAAAACATTCTCAGGCCAAGGAAAAGTAAAAGACTGTCACTAGCAGAACTACCCTTAAAGAACAGCTAAAGGAATTTCTTCAAACAGAAAAGAAATGATAACAGATGGCTCGAAACTTTAGAAAGGAAAGAAGAACATGGACTGGGTAAGAACGTAGGTAAATATAATATGTCGTCCTCATTATGAGTTTCTTAAATCAATATGGGTGGCTGAAGCAAAAACCGTAACCCCGATGTGGTACTCAGTGTGTACACAGGAAATACTTAGACAATCGTTTTTAATGGGAAAGGTAAAGGGAGCTAAGGGAAGTAAGGTTTCTACACATCACTCGAAGTGCTAAAACGTCAGCATAAGTGGACTACGATAACCTCAGTACGTATGTTTTAACATCCAGAGAACCACTGGGAAAAGTATACAAAGTTTTATACTCAAAAACACTATAAAAAATCAAAGTGGAATTCTAAGCAATGGTAAGCAGCCCACAGGAAGGCAAGAGAGGAGCAGGGAGGAATGAGAAAGGGAGGGACACACAAAACAAGCCACCAAATGGCGGACTGAAGCCTTAACATGCCAATAATCACAGCAAACGTAAATGGCCTAAATACACTGACTAAAACACGCAGACTGTCAGAGTGGATTCAGAAAACCACAACACAACTATATGCTATCCACAGGAAACTTACTTCACACATAATGACACAGGTG